AAACATATAATAAGAAGGTTAAATATTGAGTTTGCAAACAGTTTTATTAATTTTTCCCAAAAAAGCGAAAAAATCTACATAAAAATAATAATTTGTAAAATGGATTTTATAGATTTAAAATCATACTATTAAATATTCATCTCGTGACATTATTTTAACTTCCCTAAGGAAAAGTTTAAGTTTTCATGAAAATTCCGATTTGCCAAGTTTTTGTTTTCTCGACGCTTCAAGCCATTCTGAATCGAATAAGACCAAATTTGGAAAAAGTATGTGTTTGTGTATGTGAGTTAATGTGTGTGCGTGTGTGTGAAGATATTTTTAATTTTTTTATTTGCTGAGTTGATAGTTCAATATTTACAATTAGCTATATTGAACATTCGCTGGCCCGAAATTCATTTTTCATGTATGGTTTTTTAGAGCAAAATTCTTGAAGAGATCTATAATACAAGTTTGCAGGCTTCCCACAATTTGTCTTAAACATTTTTATTTCATAAATTACACGATCCATGATTTAGTTTTGTAGTTTTTAATAAAACGTCTCAACGGAATCATGAACGTGCATGACATCGTGTTTTTAAGAAAATTGCCAGAACTTCCCGTACCGTAACCTGCAATTTTAAAAAGCTTTAAAATTGTTTGAAAAATAAAAAATCTACTGGCGTATAGCATCATGCCTTGAGGCAAAAATTTTTCAAAAGAACTTTAAGATTTTTTGAAAACTTTGAAAAAATTAGATTTTGGGGTTTTGTAGTATTTGAAAAATGTGAAGTATTTGTGAAACATGATTTTTTTCATTTTTCAAAACTTTTTGAAAATTTTAAACTTTTATTCAAAGCAATCGTGCTGCGTGGCTGTTGAGAAAAAATATAGAAACGCGTAAGCGCCGCGTATCGTAGTCAAACGGATGAACATTGATACGGAACCCATAGAAATGCAAACAAAATTTGTGCTCATTATTGAAATCCCTATAAAATATCTGTTAATTTGATGTACATATGTCTAATGACGTTGTTTGAATTAGTCAAATAAACTGAATTACTATTTTTTGAATTTTTGATCCGAATCGTCCAAACGGCTATGCACGTCTCCTTATCAATAGGAATCGAATGTTTTTTGAATCATTGAAATTGGTTGAACCATGTTTCCAAAATCGTCGATAAATTTTGTATCTGAACACACACACATTCATACATCCATTTTTTCTAAGGCACGTCAAAATATTCAGAATTTCATTTTCAATTTTTTGCCAATACTCTAACATACCCTCCGG